TTCCAAAACTTGAAAAGTTGAGATTGATAGATATAAAATGGACATGCAAAAGTATATCATTCTGTAGCCAGGACCTAAGGAGAGCAGGAAATACATATACTAATGAAGTTAGGCCAATAATGCCTTTCCTTTCTGTGTTGTCATTAAATTTTATAGAGGCATTTTTAATTCAACATTTACTTCTTACATATTTCAGATTACAGTTAGTCAAAAGAGGTAATTACATAAAGATGAGTAGCTAATAGGCTCCCTACTCCTGTGTTTTCTCCTAATAGGTGTAACCTGCCTTTTTAACCACCATAGCATTTTCCATAAAATAATTTTAATATGAGTGACATGTTGAGCACTTGGCATGGACAAAGGTAGCCATGAGCCCCAGCCATGAGTTTGAGAGCCATAACTAACTGGGCAAACATGTGGAAAGAATGTTGCATTTTTAAAATTATAACTTGGTGTCAGATTGTCAATTTTTAAATGTCTCAGTGCAGTGGAAGGTCATTAAATCCCTATCAAGGTATTGTAATAAGATAAAGTTTAAACAGCTAAACCTCCTTTTCTAACATGCTTTTAAACACGACTTGTCTTTTAGATAATTAAGACCCATTTATACCATGGAAGCTTTCTCTCCCTGACATCAGGAGAAAGCTACTGCCAGCTATTTGTTACACATATATTGCCTTGGAAATGTACCTGTGCCCATCACCATAGCAACACCCTGAGAATGACCTCAGCAGCCACTCGGAATCATTCCTACAAAACAGATTATGGCTATAATTAACTCTGAATTTACTCTGCAATATAAATTTGTTCAAGCTTTCGTGTTTTTTTTTTTTAACAAGGTTAAATGGATGGAATAATGAGCCCATCTCCCATATTCTACCAAAGTTTTTTCTCACATTATGAGATACTTCGGTCAGACACAATTCAGAAATTATTTTATTACCTTTTTGTGGGGGGGCAGTGCTGGGGATTGAACCAAGAACCTCAAGCACTAGGCAAGCACTCTACCATTGAGCCATACTCCCAGCCTTCTGTTACCTTTTCTTAAAATATGATAAGCATCAACAAATAAGGATACACTAGTTTTAACACAATAGAATTCATTTCTAAGGGAACAGAGTAGCTCTCCCCGCCCCCAAACAAATATGAAACACAGAAAGGAAAGTCCCATGGGTCCATCCTCCGAAGCCTAAGAGCATAGGGAGGGGAGAACAAAGGGGGTGGGACTCTGCAAGCAGAAGCTTGTCACACTGGCACCCCCTTAGCAGTGAAAAATGCAGTTCTTCATTGTCTCACATTTTACCTGTTCCACAAACTGTCTCTTCAATCTCACATGGCTACTGAACCCCCAGGTCTTCTGTTAGGAGTAAATATTTGAGGAGTTTGTTATTATTTTATTTATTTATTTATTTATTTATTGTCTTGCTTTGGCTATGTGTTTGGTTGGGTTCTGGATAATTCTGGATGATATACTGCAACTAGCAGAGCTGGATACAGTTTCTTTCAGTCTTTTTCTTTTGTTTAACTAGATTAACTTTTTACTCCAAGTGAAGTGAGCCTTTCTCTCCATCATCCAACTAGTACAAAACAAAAAAGAATACCAAGCAAGAACTATCACTTACTTTTAAGTTAATCAGAAATGTACAGAACATCTTTAAAGACCATTTCCTTCCCGTGAAAGTTAGTTGTTATATGAACTGTATTGCCGTTAAGGAGCAAAAACAAAAAGATGAAAAAGAAATGATATTCTTTGCAAGAATGAATATTATGGAGATTTAGTTAATATCTCAGTAGTATATATATTCATGAAAAGATACCACTGACAATTTTTTAGGATAGCTTATAAGTCCTTGTAAGCAAATTTTCAGGTGAAGATGTGCACCCAATTCCGTCTTACCCAAGCATGTTTTTCATGGAGCTCACTGCATCTTTCTAAATTAGAGAGAAACTACCAACATTCTTTCTGTGCAGTGTGACAGGTAATTTCTCACTTGATATAGTTCTTTAAATTCTTCTTGGCAAACATATATCCATGCTTTAAAATGGAGTAGCAATTAGTAATCTGCTTGGTCCATCTTCAGGAAACAGCAAACTACAATTTCCTTGTATCCCAAGAACACCACAGCATCTTATATATGAGAATTATCACCCCTTCATTCTGACCTCTGTCTATGGCATTAAATTAGTTTAAATGGGCAACATTTTGGTGGGGGTGGGGATCGAGGATTGAGTCTAGGGGCGCTTAACCACTGAGCTACATTCCCAACCCTTTTTATATATTTTATTTAGAGATAGAGTCTCACTGAATTGCTTAGGGCCTCGCTAATTTGTTGCGGCTGGCTTCAAACTTCCAATCCTCCTGCCTCAGTCCCCTGAGCCACTGGGATTACAGACATGACCACTGTTCCCTGAGCCACTGATTACAGACATGACCACTGGGCAGCATATTTCTGAGCCAGCTTGCCAGTGTAGAATTAGTGTTCTGTAATTCCTCTGAAATGAGATCTTGTACATGGTAGTTAAATAAATAATAATTTTGTTGATTTCAGAATATGTAATAATGTTTTTCAAATCAAGGGACTGGTAAATTAGAAAATCCCATCTGTATGATGTGATGAACTGGTTTATCTGTGAATTAGTATTCAGATCAACTCCCAGAACATGGTCTCCTTAACTGTATCAGACAACCCCAAGACTAGGACAAGATGTTTACTATAACTCGGTACAGTTCATTTTTGCATTTATATTCACTCTCTCAGCCTGTCCCTTTTTGTCCTCCAGGCAGTTTTATAATAATTAAAGATGTGAGACTGGTTTCTATTAGTCAGTAGAGAGCTAATTTGCAAGCTAAAGAATCAATGCTGTGTCTGGAATAAGACCCTTAGAATATGAATTAGTTGTTTTGCAATAGAAACTTCTAGACTAATGCTGTTTTGTCTTAAAATAATTGATTATACCTCCAAAGAGGCAGTTTTCTTTATAAAGTCAGGCTTAGCTCTACTATTTTATGATTCTATGAATCATATAAACTGAATATAATATGTCCTTTTAACACTCAGTCCCAAATTTAAGGGTATCATTCATATGGAAAATACCACTAGTAAGAATGGCATTTGAATAATGCTAAAACGAAATGGTACTATAAGAAATCCAGCCAACCAGCAAATGCTCCCTAAGTACTATTTGTATAACAATGAAACGGAAATAAAGATGCAGAGATGGTAATGACAAAATTGGGGGTGGGGGATGGGGCCCGGGTACTGGGAATGGAAACCAGTAGTACTCAACCACTGAGCCACATCCCCAGCCCTGTTTATTTTTTATCTTGAGACTGGGTCTCACTAAATTGCTGAAACTGCTGTGAACTTGTGATCCTCCTGCCTCAGCATATAGGGTTTTTGGGATTACAGGCATTCACCACCATGCCCGATAAGACAAAACTCTGATTACTAGGTAGATCATGTCAACTGAGTGTTTGTGTCTTTGCGAAATTTTGACAGCTGTGCAGCAACCAGTCTCTGTTAGGAATCTCCAAACTCACTATCTCTTGTTTGTGATCATAATGGAACTGAAGATCTAACTCCTTCCAGTTCTGTTAATGGTGCCATTTTTTTCTCTAAATATTAAGTTAGTCACTTTGTAGTTGTATGTTTTGAAATCATGCCTATGCCCCATCCTCTCCAGGGCAGAAACAAACATAGTCTTTGAAATCATTAAGATAGCACTCAGAACAGCCATTTTCACCTGAATGTCATAGTTCTAATGGATTATATTGTTCTCAACATTGCAAATTATGCTTTCTACTTTGAGAGAATGAAAAGTGAATGGAATAGGAGGTTTGGGGAATGACAGATTATACTGATAGAGAACACTGTAGTTGCTAGGGGTTAGGATTGGCAGTGGCAACTCAAGGCGTTTCCTTTGTGGTGATCGAAGAGTTCTATGTCCTTATTGTGGTGGGGATTGCATAAATATCTATATGTGATAAAGTCACATGAAAATCATATACCCTCAGTATAAATATGTATGTATATTTTGTATACTTCAATACATACATGCATATGCATGCATACCTGTGTGTGTGTGTGTGTGTGTGTGTGTGTGTGTGTGTATGTCTGTGTGTGTGTATGCACGTAACAGTGGGTGAACTCCAAGTAAGGTCTGTAGTTTAGTCAATAGTATTGCACCAATACAAGGCTCCTGGTTTTGATAATGTACTATGGTTATATAATATGTTGTCATTAGGGAAAGCTGGGTGAAGGAATACAAGGAAATACTCTGTAATATTTTTGCAACTTCTTATGAGTCTAAAATTATTTCAAAATAAAAAGGTTTTTTTACAGTCATGGTAAAGTGTCCTACGATCAGATAAATTTAAAGTTTAAGTATAGTAATCTAAACATTGAGAATGTCTGACCTTAGATGTTATTAATGTAATAGCTAGGAATCTTGTGGCTTCACATTAATCATGAATGACTTAGGCTTTGGACAGGATTGAGGACACTGTATCCTGCTCTCTACTCTTAGGGGAATAAGGAAATTCATTCCAGGAAAAGACTGATCTACAAGAAGCAAAAAATGAAAGGAAAGAAACATCCTGATCTTATGTGTAACTCTGTTAGCTGCTTATTTCTACAATTTAAATTCATACAAATAATTCAAGATTATTTATTTTAAACTCTATCTTTACCAATCAGACCTGCTAAACAAGTAAAAGATAGGAGACTAATTTGAGCTTCTTGTCCTTCTCCACCCTGTTGCTTTTACTTTTCATATGGTTTATAATTAATAGTAAGAGAAGAAATGAGAAATATGGTGAGCAGGGAAGCAATAGATGGATAACCTCCCTCTGAGTATTGGAAGGTGGTTTTTATTTCTCTCTTTGCTATGGTATTGTATTTTTCTTTCCCACTTTACTTCTTCTGACTCCTTTTGCTCTTCCCTTCCCTGAATTTGGAGTGACATATTGCTGACATCTCATCATATTTTCCCTCCTCTAGCTATCTGAATGACTTGGACCGCGTAGCTGATCCTTCCTACCTGCCTACGCAGCAAGATGTGCTTAGAGTTCGAGTCCCCACCACAGGGATCATCGAGTACCCCTTTGACTTACAAAGTGTCATTTTCAGGTAGTAACTGAGTCTATAACACCTATTTCTTCCCAGCTTTTATACCTCAGTACATTTGGTGAATTCTATAAATACTGAAATCTTGTATTTTAAACAGTATAGCCTTATGTGAATTATTGTCAGAGATAACACAAATGAAATAATGTATTCCTGAAGAAGAAGCTGAATATAAAGATGTATTGACAGGTTTCTCTTTTTAGTTTAAATCACCAAGTGATTAATGAAACTTATATTGCTGGTAATTAAACAAGATCAAACATTGGTCCTAACTAATTTTATTATCACTTTATGAAGATGGTGGGTATACTTTTATAATTGCCTAAGATATAAATTATTTTATGGTCTATCAATAATAGGAATTATATGTTTTCAGAAGCTTTCAGATTGATATTTTCTCTAGATTCTCTGGTACCAGTGCAAAATTTTTCTTTAGCCAAAAAAAAAAAAACATATAATAAAATATGATGTTTTATATTCATAAAATAAGTGACTTGAAATTTTTCAAAATTCTTGATTTTGAAAATGACTTAATTAACTTTGCCTAAATTTATATAGTAAAATAGAATTAAAATTTATTACCACCATTTTCACTGCTTCTGTTCTGTCTGGATAATACTTTAACAGGAACATTCTATTTTTTAAAGATGAGAAAAAATAAACAATACTGGTGGACTTTTACTTAATCTTTTATTACACAATTACTCAGTCATACTTTTAGTTAGAGTATAAACCACATGGTGTTTTGAGGAGTGAAGTATGTATATGAGTTGAATGTAGAGAGGGTAATTATGCAGGAGAGCCCACCCATTGAAGATGGATATGTGTAGCACCAGGTTACAAAATAAGGAGTCATGCAGCTCCTACTTTGCTGTGTGACTTTATAAAAGGTGCTCTATCCTTTCTTCTAAAGTAATTCTGTTTTATTATTATTTTATTATTCCTGCACCTGTGGTCAAAAAGGCTGCCATACACTGTTCTAAAAGACATGACCATTAATTGGGTGACATTTCAAAAGTATTTTTGAACCTCAGTTTTTTCATCTCTGAAATGGTTGCATTAGATGATCCCTAAGGTTCTTTGATCCAGTATTCTTTATGACTTACATTTTGAGTTTACAACATTTAGAGATCGTAAATTTGAGATAATTATAAACTAAACTAAACTTCCTTTTATAACCATATTACAGAATATTTTCAGAAATAGCATTTCATAGATTTTCAAATCCTTACTATTTTATAATTAGTTAGTTCTGAAACCAGATTATTACATCTTATTTTTCCCACATTTTGTGCATGTTTTTGAAGGATATTTTTTACCACTACATTAAAGTAATGACTTAGAAGTATAATTTCCTGCTGCCATCAAAAGCATTGGGTGGGGCCTAGAGTGACAGGATTTCATAAAATGAAAAATTTCATGTAAATATGTAGCATGTTATTCACACGATGACACTAGGGAACAGTCAGCATTTTAATTTTCTGAAGACCTGGGAGTTCCAGTTTCAATGTACATAGTTCACTGCCCTCCCTGGATCTGCTGCCCCTCAGATTTCTGTTCTGTGGTTTTGAAGCCTTTAAGAAGCACTTAATAGAAGAGCCTCAAACTCTTGGTTTGGGAGGTAGGAAAACACCAGAAGCAACTGCAATTTTTAACAAATGCTTAAAGAGCCCAAACCCTGAAATTTTATACCTAAACCTCTTGCTCTGAGCCTGTTCTTTCGTCTGAACATTGTGTACATTACATTCAAGATATGGATCCAGCAGTTTGAAGAACTATTAATTGACTTGGAGGACCAAGGTCTTTCAAGAGACTATTTCTCCTTACTTTGTAAGAGGTGCTGTATTTATTCTGATATTTTAAAGTTTCCCTCTATGTGCTATTAATATAAGTATTGTTAACCTTGCAGGATGGTCGATGTAGGGGGCCAAAGATCAGAGAGAAGAAAATGGATACACTGCTTTGAAAATGTCACCTCTATCATGTTTCTAGTAGCGCTTAGTGAATATGATCAAGTTCTCGTGGAATCAGACAATGAGGTAAGTGCTCTTTGGACAGGCAATGGATTATCATTTTATTATCTGATAAAAAAAATAAATGACAGGAAGTAAGGGTAGAGAGTGAGGTCAGCTGACTTCATTGCTTTCTTGATAGTTGATTTTAGGATTTTGAATATAACACTGTGGAGCCACAAGGTATGCTCAGATTGGTAAACTTTGCTGTCAAAGGTATGAGCAGTTCTGTGTACTCAGATCTAATTAGATCTAATTTGATACTTTTAACACTCTGCAGAGGTTCTGAAAAAGAAAACAACATGGAAATTCCTAGGCTAGTCATCAGATCATTTTATAGCCTTCTTACAGGATAGAATGGGGAGTGTTGGAATGAGTCATCCTGTTTTGTTTTGTTTTCATTTTGTTTAAATCATTGTTTGTGTGATGGGTGGGTCCCAAAGAATACTGAGAACCTCTGTTGGCAAATGTGAATAACTTTGCAGCTGGTCTCTAAATTAGTTCATTGGAACCATGAAGGGTCTTAGTGACTTGGCCTTTCTGCTCTTAGAGAACTATATAGGCTGTTGTACCTATTGAAGAAGTGCTCTTAATATGCCTAATTCTCTATTGTAATCTCCTCCCCATTGCAGGGAGACTTAACAGGTGTAAATACAGATTTGGGGATAGGAAAGACTTGATGATGAGTCAGAGCTGATCATGGAGGATAATTAGGGGGTATAGGAAACCATGCCTATGAGCTAGAGTTCATTCATGTGTGTGTGTGTGTGTGTGTGTGTGTGTGTGTGTGTGTGT